AAAAACATGATAGAATTCTCTTTATTCATTCATGTAGAGAATCAATCCTAATACCAATGTGGCACTGTCAAGACAATCCATAAATAGCCAAAATTTTCAACTAGGAAAAAAACTGTTGCCTTCAATCTTCAATTGGTCCACAAATTTGCCTGCTTGTTCCAAAATTGTTTTATTAGGTATCGCTCAAAAAGAGCAACCTAGCTTTTTATTTACAATGAAAAATTATGAACAGGTTCTTCACAGAAAAAAAGTGTACAATGCAGGATTTGATTCCGGTTCATGGCAGTCATAAAACAATGGTTTATACCATTGGTATAACCAACTATCCACAAATTTAGCTGAGAGACAAGTAGGTAAACAAAACTTTCATACAAAAAAAAAAAAAAAGATTGCAGCATTTTCCTATCCTAAAAAGACACAAGTCAAACATGGGGTATGTATAAAGCCCCACATTAGAATAAAACACAATTTAGCTGAGAGACAAGTAGATAAACAAAACCTTTATATACATAAAAATAAGAGATAACAGCATTTTCCTAACCTAAAAAGACACAAGTTAAACATGGGGTATGTATAAAGCTGTTACACAGGCCCTCCCATTAATATTTTCATTGCAGTAAGGACAGTAGGAATTGTTTAGTTTTAAAAAGAATTATACACGTCTATAATAGTTTTGAAATTTGATAAGAGATGGCACGCTAATGTATCATAACAACAGAAAGAATTAGAAAACAACAATAGCCCCACATTAGAATAAAACACAATTTAGCTGAGAGACAAGTAGATAAACAAAACCTTTAATCACAAGGTAATAAGACCAAATCCAAAAAAAATAAATAGTGTGTGACGTTTTGGTAACAGTGTTGTTACCATCTTCAGACAAAAGTACTGAATGTAGAAGAGATAACGGCATTTTCCTAACCTAAAAAGACACAAGTCAAACATGGGGTATGTATAAAGCTGCTAAACAACAGAAAGAATTAGAAAACAACAAAAGCCCCACATTAGAATAAAACCTAAGAATGATGTCAGTAGGACTCGGGACTATAATTTGTTTAATAAGTCCGTGTCATTAAGTAACACTACTGTCCATCCATCCCTGCTGGGTCATTCAATCTGAGAATAACCTCCTTGATGAATGGCCTCCAAACAATCCATTGTATGCCACCGGGGCAGCCTTCACCCAACCTTCTTTTGTTGCGGACCCTCCAGAAATATTTCAATTTTAGGGGGAAGAAATATTTATAGAACACGCACCTGCGAAGAAATGGCAGCATTGTTTGCATACCTTTAAAAATTTATATACATATACAGCAGAACCTCCTTTTAGCTGATACCTCTCTACAAAGGACTGTTTTCATTTGCAAAATTACCATTTTTACAATTTAGCAACTCTTCGGTAAGAAGACACCTCTCTCTAAAAGACACTTTGGCTCTATAATTAGGTGTCCTTTACAGGGAGGTTCTACTGTATATATATTATATAATCTAAAATGCAAATATATATATATATATATATTTTAAACATTTTACTTTCATCATTGACTATTCTTTTATTTTTGACCATAGATATAGAACATAACACTTTTGTTATAAATATGTATAGTTGACCTACCTATTTTTTTTAATTCACGAATATAGAATTCATTTTATAAATTCTATATTACTATGAAAAATAATTTTATGTGTAATTTGCTTCAAGTAATTCAAAATAAAAACTACTTGAAAGGTAAATAAATTATATTTCCTTTTTCACGACTGCACTTTCAATTCTTTATCATTCCAACATCAAAACATTATAATTCATAACATATATATATATATTCCTGTAAGCTGCATATACAGTATAGAAACCTATTATATATATTTAATTAAGATCATTATAATACTTAATACAATACCCATTAAAATACAGTAGAACCTCCCTGTAAAGGACACCTAATTGTAGAGCCAAAGTGTTTTTTAAGGAGAGATGTCCTCTTACCAGAGTTTCTTAAGAGTAAAAATAGTAATTTTGAAACTGTCCTTTGTAGAGAGATGTCCTCTAGTGTGAGTGTCCTCTCATAGAGGTTCTACTGTACTTAATTGAATGAATTTTCAAAATCCAAAAAAAAAAAATCCATTTACACTCGTGAACAAAACTTAAGGAATGATAAAGCACAATTTGGATTATAGATTATAATAAAAGAAAATAAGACCTAATCCAAATAATTTATTAGTGTGTGACGTTTCAGCAACAACATTGTCACCATCATCAGACAAAAGAATAATAGAAAGAAACCAATTATTAACCCATTTCTTTTGTCTGATGATGGTGACAATGTTGTTGCCGAAACGTCACATACTAATAAATTATTTGGATTAGGTCTTATTTTCTTGTATTATAAAACTTAAGGAAGTTTCATATTTTGATGTTGTCCATTATCTTTTTTTTTTAAAGAAACAGAGGAAATTTTGTTCACACTTGGTTATCTTGTGTCTTCAATAAAGATCACTGTAATATCTGTAAAAGCCACAACCTTAAGTTTTGTCTATGAATGTTTTGATAACATTGGGGACAGTGTTTTGTTCACCAAAATTACCATTTAGCTGCTCTCCAGTAAGAAGAAATCTCTACTTAAGAGACACTTTAAGGTGTCGTCCTCTTTGCAAAAGAGGCTCAACTGCTCTCCAGTAAGAAGAAATCTCTACTTAAGGGACACTTTAAGGTGTCGTCCTCTTTGCAAAAGAGGCTTAACTGTTTAAAATAGTGGATGATAATAAATGATAATGGGGAGACAATTTGGGGATTATAGATTAGAAAAATAAGATGATATACCAAATAGGTGAAAGTCTTGCAACAGTCATGAGTGGTAACTTGTGTTACCGCAGCCAATGTTCCATCCTTAACCTGACATCAGTGAAGGACAGAACCACCTGACTGCCAACTCATGTTGTCAGGAAGTGTTCCGCAGATGTGTTTGAATCCTTCCTTCACTTGAATTAGAACAGTAGTCACAAAAGCCTGATGATGATTGTCATCTCCAAGTTGAGAACTAGTGCAGATGTCTGAAACTTGCGAACCACATGCGGCTCTTTGAATATGTGAAGCTGCGGCTCTTTAGTTCCATATGCAAATATTTATTTACGCAAGTACATTTTATTCTTTTGTCTGATGATAGTAACAAAGCTTTTACCGAAACCTCGCATACAGTACTATTAAATTATTTGGATTAAGTCTTATTTTCTTGTATTTATAGATCAAATTGTGCTTTATCATTTATGCAAGTACAGTTAAACCTGTCTATAACGCCCCCTCTTGGGACTCACTAAAATAGGATGCTATTATATAACACAGATACATATTTACACATGTCATATCATAAACTAGGTTGCTCTTGTTGAGCGGTACCTAATAAAGTGATTTTGGAACAAGAAGTTATCTTTCTTTCGTCTTTTGATTTAGAAATTACACTTGCCTTTTTTTACCCACAGACATGTCATTATGTAACCCAAAAAAAAATGTTGATAAGCTTTTAACTAGGCCTGCCAGGATTTGAGCCAGGAATCTTTTTTTTTATCTGTAATATCAGAGGTGTTATCTGTTGCACAACAACTACGCTCTATTATGCTTATCTAAAATAATAAATTTTCAACTTTTATCTTTATGTACCTAATTGGGTGCTAAGCTTACAAGAGAGAGAGAAGCACTAAATTAAGATAACAATTAGAAAAGAAGTATTTCAATAAAGTTGTTTTTGTTTATTCCTCAAGTCATTTAAACAATCTCCATTAAGTTCCATTGTCTCAGCTTTTATAGTCCTGGGGTTTTTCTAGAGGTCTTTTTTGGATGATTTGATACAATTCAATAGATGTTCTGGACTGGCTGGTTGGGAATCGCATTTGGGGAATTTCCGGAATGTTTTGATTTTTCAATTAAATTTGAGCATTCTATGATGTCCTGTTCGTAATCTTGAAATCGCTGTTTGTTCTTCCCTAGTAAGGGTGTGGAAAGAAGATTCGTTAGGAATGGGGTGTACCAGGGGTGGTTTAGGGTGGATTTCCAGAGAGAGATTATTTTTTGTTTGTGGATGGAAGAAATTTCAGAATAGGTGAGTTGGGAGTTTTCAGGCTGGCCCTTACAGCCTTCTTTATTCAACTGGTCAGCCATCTTGTTGCCGTCTATGTTAACGTGAGAGGGGATCCATGATGTCTACATTTCAATAAAGTAAAACCTCTCTTTATAAAATATTTTAAAAAGACTCTTAACCTACCATAATTCCAACCTTCAATGATAAGGCACAATTTGGATTATAGATTATAAACACAAGGTAATAAGACCAAATAAATAAATAGTGTGTGACATTTCGGTAACAGCGTTGTTACCATCTTCAGATTATACCATCATAGATGCAGTACTTTTGTCTGAAGATGGTAACAACGCTGAAACGTCACACACTATTTATTTATTTGGATTTGGTCTTATTACCTTGTGTTTCCAACCTCCAATAAAAGATAAGAGTAGTATACTTATCTCCACTCAATCATGCCTTGAAGATCAAAGAGATAGTTAGACCAAGGAAGGATTGGTTTGTGACAATCTAAAATAATATAGTGTGGAACATTAGAAGATAGGAAGAGAGGATGAACAGGGTGAAATCAAAGATAGCACTATGTAATGATGATATCTGTGGGGTAACAGTAGTGATTCTGCAAGTGAAACCTTGGACAAGGTCTTCAAGTTGGAAGCCTTTGAAGTGTGAAACCTTAATAGTCTTCTTTCTTATCTCCACACTGGGTGAAGTAGAATGCATCTGCCTTTGTCATCTTCTTCTTCTTTCTTATCTCCACCACTCAATCATATTAAGGTATCAAGCTTGTAAAGCTTGAAGACTTTTGATGGTGTCTGCCGGGGAAGAGTAGAGCTCATCAATGGATGAGTCAATACAGTCAATAATGTGTTTTGGGGTTGCAGGTTGAGAATTGCATGCCTTTGTCATCAAGACTAGAAGCACTACTGGCTCCCAGGTGGGGAATCTAACCCCGGTCGCCCACGTAACAGGCGGGAATACTGACCATTATACTACCTTAATAGTGAGGTAGCATTAATAAAAAGGTCCGAGGTATAAGCAAAAAAAAAAAAAAGTCAACATGAATAAATTGAAAACTATAATAGGCAGAGGGTTGTTTCAGTCCATTCAGGTGAATGTAAAGTTAAGGATGGCTGCTGGCAGGTTAGCCAGTTCAGTGTGGTGACCCCGGCGGCTATCTAAGTGGGATACAAGGTTGCTTATCTCCACTCTTGGTATCTGCTTTTGGTGGGAGGCATAGGGCTACTTTCAACCTGCTTGGTTCTATGTAACTCAACAACAAGGCTTTTATTAGGGCCCATTGCCCTGTATGGATTCGCCATACAACAACAAATACAGTAATTTTTTCTTCCTTTTCCCATGTGCACGTGAGCCTTTGTTTGAAAAGGGATTTATTTACACATCTGTTCTAAAACTTTCCTCACTACCTCTTTTGTGTATGAATCTACAGTAAAACCCCTCTATAGTGAACCCCAATGGGACAGAGCTTTTGGTTCACTATAGCCACGGTTCACTATAGCCACGGTTTGGCTATTTTTTTTTACTTTTCAAAAATTTTAGACCGTATAATTAAAAAACAGGCATACACACAAGAAGAGGCTGCCTCTTAATAGTGGTCACTTTATTTTAATTCCCTTAATTGACTAATTTCCTTATATTAATACTGAATAATAATAGAAATCATTAGATAATAGGTTCTTCTTATGATTAACATACATGTACCTCTATGTCTAAGTTAAAAATCAAGACAAATCCTAGGCAAAGTTTTATTAAATATATATTCAAAGATATGAAATGATTTTAAAACATCATTATCACATTATATAATACAATTTTTACTTGAAAAAATGGCTCTAATACCTTGTTGTTTCAAAGCATTCTTCCAAGCATTGCACCATTCAAATAAAGTTAGTGTTTTTCTTCCATTTCATGTTTCCCCATATTCTTCTAGGTCTAGATTTCGTTTTTTTTTAACCTGCCATGCAAAACATTGCTGACTTTAAAATCACCATAGTTAATGGCATAAAAATAATTTTTGTTTCATCACGGGACCGTTTATTTGGACTTTTTTTTTTTTAGCCCTAAAACGTACGATCGCGATCGCGGCAAAAGTTGAAGTTGATTCCTCTTTGTAACAATTTTTAATAACTTTATATTTTATCTTTTATAATAGAAAAGTTATATTCTCTTATTTTAATATGTTCTCAACATTTTGCCTATGTTGTTTCACTTTGAAAAGTTCTGAAAATGGCCCTTTTTTTTTTAATGAAATAATGCTTTTGTTTTTAAAATGCCTTTGTTTTCTTCATTTTGGAAGCCATTTGCATTTTTTATATTTCAAATTTAATGGATGCAAAGATATTCTAATTAATAAAAAGTATAATGTGTAAAAATTTATACAACATACAGCAAAAATAAAGTGCAAAAATCAAACAAACAATGCCGCTAAATTTATTGTTTTGAAATCGCGATCCGCGAGCTTTAAACATGCTCAAAATTTTGTTTTTTAATTTTTTTTTAATTACAATTCTAAGTTCGTTATAAGCATAGTATTTTTAATAGATTTTATCAATTTGGGACCCGAAATAGGTTCGTTATAGGGGTAGTTCGTTATTCTAAAAATCGCAAAGTTCGTTATAACGATGGTATTTTCAATGGAATGGAATTGGGAATCGGCGTGGGTTCGTTATAAGGGAAGGTTCGTTATATCCAGGGTTCGTTATAGCGGGGTTTTACTGTATTTACAATTGATCTGTAGAAATTATAGAGTTCTATTGCTATATTTTTCTTTTCTGAAATAGTTCTCAGCATCTTCAGTGGGTTGCTAAATCTCCAGAAGGTGTTTATTAACCCTTAATTACTCGCGTCGAGACACAGATCTCACCTAAAATTTTAATCGAAAAAATAAATACGATTTTCGAGTCCAATTAATTTGTAAGTTTTTGTAGCTTAAGATAGCATCGAAATAAATATTTTAGACCATTTGTTCTATCGCTTGGCCCCTAGAAGGAAGAAAAATAAAACAAAAAAGCCACCGCCGAGACAAACGTCTCGACGCGAGTACTTGCGTAATAATTTTGGTTTAGGTTTCATTTTCCGGCTGGCTCTTATCTTCGTAAAACAGTAAGTTATTGTTCTTCTTCTAAGTATATTTTTTGTTCCTAAATATCCTAAATTCTCTTTCTCTCTCTCTCTGTCTCTCTTAGGTATTTAGAATTTATTTATTTTTTTAATATTTTAATACTAAATATTTCCAAAAATATATATTACATTATAAAAAAAAATGGCTAGTACTTCTGAGAGGAATCAGAGTGAATCCAACATGGATTGCGATGAAATAATTTGTGATTTATCCGATACTTCTGATACCGAAATTTATAGTTATCATGACACAGACTCTGAACAGAATTCAGAGGCGGATGAAGAATTACCAAATGATGATTCTGAATTTTATTTTGGAAAGGATGGTGTCACAAAATGGAAAAAGACAATGTGGCAGAAAACCCAGATTCGTACAAGAAGTGTAAATATAATTTCTCAATTGCCATGGCCTAAATCTGAAGCAAAATCGATAGAATCTGAATCGGATGCATTTACAAAAATAATTGATAATGAAGATTTCTCTAGAGAAAGAGATGCCAAATTAACTACTGTAACAGAAATCCTAAATTTATTTGGACTTTTGATAATGTCAGGTGTCAAAAGAGCTGCTCATTCAACTTATAAAGAGCTATGGGTGGTGGATGGCTCAGGAGTAGAAATTGTGAGAGCAATTATGTCACAAGAACGTTTTTTATTTATTCTACGTTGCTTGAGATTTGATGATATTACAACAAGGAAAGAACGAAAAAAGCTGGACAAACTTGCTCCAATTAGAGAATTTGTAGAAGCCTTTGTATATAACTGTAAAAAGCTCTATACTTCAGGTGAATATAATACAATTGATGAGAAGCTCATTCCATTTCGTGGCAGGTGTGGCTTTAGACAGTATATGCCCAACAAACCTGCAAAATATGGGCTCAAAATTTATACCATTAGTGATGCAAGAACATCTTAAACCTTTAATTTTGAAATATATTGTGGAAAACAACCCGATGGTCCATATAAAAAAAGTAATTCACCCGATGATATCGTAAAAAGATTGATCACTCCAATATCTGGGACAAGCCGAAACATAACAACAGACAATTGGTACACTAGTTATAAATTATCCCAATATCTTCTTACAGAACATAAACTCACTTTAGTTGGCACTTTGAAAAAAATAATAACAGGAAATCCCTAAAATATTTCTGCCCATTAGGAATAGACCAAAATATAATAGTATATTTGGCTTCATTCAGAATATCACCCTTGTATCTTATGTCCCAAAAATTGTCCCACAATTGACGAAGAAAGTGGATTCAAATTAAAACCTGAAATTGTAACATTTTATAATTTGACTAAAAAGGCGGGTTTGACATGGTGAGCCAAATGTGTGGAACTTATTCTGTTGGCCGTCGAACCAACAGATGGCCTCTATGCCTATTTTTCGACCTACTAAATGTTGCAGGCATAAATTCAGAAATAATTTTCAAGTCTTTAAATATAAATTCACCTCGAGTTCCAAGAAGAATATTTTTGAAAAATATTTCCCTACAATTATTCCAGGATCATTTAAAAATTCGATCCCAATTGAAAAATTTGCCAAGAAGTCTCCATGACCTGATAATATTGCATTGCAAGAAAGCTGAAAGTTCAGAGGTAAGTTATATATATTTCATAAAATTATTTAAAATGATAAACATAACAATATTTTGTTTACCACAGATCGAAATGAGTGTAGAGTCAGAACCTAAGAAGCGAAAACGGTGCTATGTTTGCCCAAGTACCAAAAGTAGTATGACACAAATTATTTGCTACAAATGCAGGAGACACATCTGTCAACGTCATTCTTCGAATATTTGCAAAGATTGCGAATAATATCAGTCTGCAACTTTTAATAGTAGCCTATTTGTAAAACTATGTCAAACATTCATTGTTTTTACTATAGTCATTGTTTCAATAAAAATAAATAAATATAATAATATTTTTTGCCTTAATTCACATGTGTCATAAACTACACACAATTACGAATATAATGCAGCCTAATTTTCAATCCAAATATTAAAATTTAACATATATTTCGGTTTTTTTAAAAGTGAGACCTGGATCTCAACGCGAGTACTTACGTAACAAATATAGGCGCGAGTAATTAAGGGTTAAGAGTTTTTTCTCTTTCTTCACCTAAATATTTGCATTCTATGATATCTATGTAACTCTGCCTATCTATGTGTTCCTCAACCATCCATAGGCTGGTGGTAGCTGAAAGTATTCCTGGCCTTTCAGAGCTTCCTCTCTATGGTTATTATTTTGTTTCTACTTATCCCAAGTATACATGGTACAGGCCATAATAGTTATGACGGGTAGTAAGTGACTATTTTTACTCTAATTCCGCCATATACAGTAGAACCTCCACGAGAGGACACTCCCGCTAGAGGACATCTCTCTACAAAAAGGACAGTTTTCTTTTACAAAATAACCATTTTTACTATTTTGACACTCTCCGGTAGGAAGACACCTCTCTACAAAGGAGAGTTTTCATTACAAAATTACCATTTTTATTATTTTGACACTCCGGTAAGAAGACACCTCTCTATAAAGGACACTTTGGCTCTGCAATTAGGTGTTGTCCTTTACAGGGAGGTTCTACTGTATATACATATGCAGAAAGTCATTCTTCTTTTGCCCTTGCAAGTGTGCCAGAGCCCCCTTTTGGTTACTTGTGCAGTCGTTTGATGCACAGTAGAACCCCAAGAGGGTAGAGGCAGTTGAGTACAGTAGAGTAAAACCTCCATGAGAGGACACTTCTGCTAGAGGACATCTCTCTACAGTTTTCATCATCAAAATTACTATTTTTACTATTTCACTATTCTCCTGTAAGAGGACACCTCTCTCTAAAGGACAGTTTTACTCTTCAAATAGGTGT